TGAGGGCTGTGTGTTTGAGTTCAAGGAGGGAGAAGGATGGGGGCTGCCTGGGAGAAAGAGACAGAAGGGTTTCCAAGTATAAAACTATATCGTTTTATATCGAGATAGTCTCAACTTATATTGCAAAAAAAAATTACACTGATATTTTTTAAATATTGATATATCGCTCAGCTCTACATGAGATGGTAATGACAATAAAGTTTACTTGAACTTGGACTACTGTAACCCTACTTCACGGTTTTTCACTTATCGCGGGTGGGCGTGGTCCCTAACACCAGCGATAAATGAGGGACTACTGTATATTTTTCATAAACGTGGATTAAAAAACAAACTAGATCGATCCAGAAGAACACAACGGAACTTCTAGCTGCACTAAACTGCTCTTGGTTGAATATGTGGCTCATCCAGCTGGTAGACGAGCTAAACATGAGCTGACCTGGGCTGTGTTAGCGCCTGGAGCCGGCTGTAGGCGGCGTGGCCCTTCACAACGTGCTCAATCTGACAGAGGACACACAAACACACTCTGGTGAATCACCACATAAAGATTAATATTTTACTAACACATTTATATTATACTAATTCCTGACCATCATTTTCCCACAAACTGTTGCAGTGAGGAGCAAAATAATCCCCCCCCCCCCACATCCTGTGTTATTGGCTTACAATAATTTAAAAAGGAATTTAATACAAAACAGCTACAACTTTCAACATTACTAAATTTTATTGTGATTTTTTTTAAAGTACCAAGTCAGTTGAATACTTTTGCAAGCCACCTTCCACTTTATTTAATGAAATGGACAAATAATGTGGAGAGTTCTGACCAGCATTCCTGTGGCGCTCTGTCCTCCCTCGTTGAGCCACAGGCCTGGCACCATGGCAGACCGGTAGGGCCCCCACACCCCCGGCACCATCAGAGGCCCCTCGCTGATCTGCTTCATACATTTACAGTATGTTGATTAAAACAAGTTATATGTGGATTTAAATCCAACAAAAATGCATGTTGTGTAAATACATAGTGAGAAATCACAGAGTGAATTAATATGTTAATGTAAAACAGATTAATGATCATAATATTGACGGTGCACGAGTCATTTGTATTTATTTTTCATTTGACCTTTATTTTACCAGGTGAGACAGCTCTCATTTACAAACATGTCATGGAGTGAAAAGAAACTAGATGAAAAGCAGTTTCTGGTTTTAGGAGTGTTCAGGGAGTGGTGCTGTGTAAAACCACTGACCGCCATGTGACACGTGGACGTCCCGCAGACCATGACCAGGCGGGATGTGAGGGGCTGCAGCTCACAGGGCAGGTCAAAGCCGTGCACGTCAGCTCCTATCACACCTGGAAGGACAAAAGTCACAACCACTGAAATTCATGAGCAAAACAAGTTAGAAGTTTAGATTTCAATCATGCTGATCTGATTCAATTCAATTCAATTCAAAAATACTTTATTAATCCCAGAGGGAAATTATTTGTTGTTATAACTCATTATCCTCATTTCATTAAGAGATGTTATAGATGCTGATGGATGTAGACTGGAAGGATCTCTTTCTTGTAAAGGTCCATCCCACAGTGGCTCCTAAGAAACTGGCTGCAGATGCCGTCCGATTTGTCCACCCAGACTTGACTGGCCTCTCAGTTCCCCCGGGCTGTAGGACCGCCCAAATGCCAGGCAGAACTCCTCCCAGAGCGATGGCCGCTCCTCCCAGCAGTCTGCCGAACTCCTCAATGCTGCGGACAGCCAACTGTAGGTGCAGAGTGACGATCCTGTCCTTCTGCTCTCATGAGCCGTGTTTCCTGCTAGTTCCAGGATCTCAGTGGTCAGGCACTCGAGCACAGCTGGTAGGTAGATGAGAATATGTCCACAGAACATCCTTTTCAACTCATTTGAGATTTGAGGCTGTAGTGAGATACTATTTGAGCTTTTGAGATGTTAATCAGCTGCTGTTGGTTGTAGAAAACTGTCTCACTGCCATGGTTACGCATCATAACAAATGTCCTAAACTAAAAAAGTTTCAGTAAAAATCCTTCCAGCTGCACAGCATCTGACACCAGAAGAAACAACCATCAAAAAAATGTGATTCACATCCAGAAAAAGAGGAACCAACGCTTCCAAAAGCAAAATCTCAGAATGAAAGTGACAGAGCTGCTCCAACATGCAGCCACCTTGAGCAGCGCAATTCTAGAACTTATGATGCGTCCTTCAACTTTTGTTCTGTCATAACTTTAGGTTTTCTACTCCTACCACAGCTTTGGAAAGACCAGAACAAACAAACAAACAAACATTCAAATGAAGACTCAGACATCCTGTTTGTCTTTTATACAGTTAGCTCATACCATCATCATCCTCAGGGGACGGTCCTCTCACCATTTCTGTTCACCTTCTACACGTCGGACTTCAGGTACAACTCAACGTTGAACAAACTAAAGAGCTGCAAGTGGACTACAGGAAAAAGACCCCCCACACCCCCAACCCTATCAACTTCAAGAGTACTAAGGTGGACACTGTGGACTGCTACAAGTACATGGGGGTCCACCTAGACAATAAAATGGACTGGACAGCTAACATCAACATCCTCTACAACAAAGGGCAGAGTCGCCTTTTTTTTCTGAGGAGACTCAGGTCCTTTAACATCTGCAGGACCATGCTGCAAACTCCTGTATCGTCTACCTGAGAGTGGTAGATGGAAGAGTCCTTGCGCTGGGTGGGTGTGGTCCTTAATGATGCTGCGTGCTTTACGCAGACATCGGCTGTGGTAAATGTCCTGGATGGTGTGGAGACTGCTACCAGTGATGTCCTCTGCTGTTTGCACCACCCTATGTAGAGCTTTCCGGCTCTGACTTGTGCAGTTCCCATACCACCCTGTGATTCAGCCAGGCTCTCAATGGTGCACCTATAAAAGTTGGTGAGGGTGCTGGTGTTCGTACCAAACTTTACATTTCCTCATAGGCAAAGCAATCTTACCGTTCATGTAAAATGTTTGATAGTTCTTATAGAAACAATTCCTGAATGTTGTTCATACTGTGTTAATGCTACGTTTGTCTCTTGACCCTACAACTGGGTAAGGTTACAGTAGACCTAGCCGATTACTGGAGTTTTAATTAGGCATTTTAAGCTACTAATAAACATGATGGATGATGATCATATTGCTTTACGCTAGGCCATTGGTAAGAAGGAGTGATTATTATTATTGTTTCATATTGGCTAGTGATTGGCAGCATGGTGGCACAACTGGTAGAGCTGCTGTCTCTCAGCGAGCAGGTCCCTGGTTCAAATCCCGGTCCGGGGGGCCTTCTGGGTGGAGTTTGCATGTTCTCTCCGAGCATGCGTGGGTTTTCTCCGGGTACTCCGGTTTCCTCCCATAGACCAAAAACATGCATGTTAGGCTGATTGGTAACTCTAAAAATTGTCCCTAGGTGTGAGTGAGAGAGTGAATGGTTGTTTGTCTCTATGTGGCCCTGTGATGGACTTGCGACCTGTCCAGGGTGTGCCCAGCTTCTCGCACAGTGATTGTTGGACATGGGCACCGGCGACCCCCATGACCCAAAATGGAAGAAGCAGGTAAAAGATAATGGATGGATGGATGGCTGGTGATTTTTCTTCCTAAAAGTTAACTTAGGCTACACTACAGTATGTTTCTTAGACTGTGGCTAAGATGCACAAGAGAAGCGGAGCAAGCTCTATTCACACAAGGAGAGCTGTTGGTCAGGCTACTTCTTGTTGCGCCATTAACTCTAAAATAGTTATTGAATCAAGTGTTACGTATGTAGGCAAAACTAAATGTTAAACAGCCTGTTAAAATACACCAGAATGCAGGAAATGGCATCTACTTTATTCAAATTTTTCTGGGGGAGGACCCCCAGACCCCCTCCCCCCCCCACACACACACACACCACCACCAATTTGCTCCCCCTCCCCCATCACATTAAAAAAGCTTCTGATGCCAATGGTCACCACATTGTTCAAGCCAAGAGCCATTGTCAGCGCTGGGGGGCTAAAAGCACCCCCAAAGGGCAGATTCTAGAATCGCCCCTGATGTAAGCTTAAAATTACATGATTTTAATAATAATAGGTTGTGATCTTAAGTGGGCCACTCTGAGGCATGAAACTCCAGGGCTGAAAATGAGTCCCACTCCGGCCCTTCCTGGGAGTGAATCTAAACTCAGTGAACATGACAGCTGTCCTGTCAGAACAGAGGAGGGAATCCCTGACGTCATTGCTTCAGTTTGTCCAGTACCTCAGAACAGTAACAGTAACAGTGACAGTCATGAGGCTGCTAAGAATGATGTCAGCAGCTCACGTTGTGGTGCCACTGGGGTTATTGTTTATGCGCCGCCTGCAAAGATGTTTTAATCGACTGAAAGTCGACCCTGTACGCCACAAACGGCACCTGATCACCATTTCCCCATCTGTGGGAGCAGATCTGAGCCACTGGGGGAATTCCCTGAACCTGTCAGAGGGAGTTCCCCTAGGCAAAGTGACGTCATCCATGTCGGTGTTCCTCTCCAGCCGGAGAGGGACCTGCCTGTTACAAACGATAGGAGCTGCCTGGCCGGCCGGCACATTTTGTCACATAAATGTTTTAGGATGTCTCACCGTAATCAAAGTGCTCAGACATTTTGCCCCACTGGTTCAGGGTTATCATGTAATGATCCAAACAACCAACAGAACCGCAGCGGCGTACATAAATCGCCAGGGGGGCGTGCGTTCAGCTCAGCTGCTGAATGCAGCCAGGAAACTTCTCTGCTGGGCGTGCACACACTTACGATCAATCATAGCAGTTTACATCCCAGGCGTTCTAAACAGAAGAGCAGATATTATGTCAAGAGGAGGCCGATATTATGTCAAGAGGAGGCCCTCTGGACAGGGATTGGTCTCTTCATCCAGATCTAATCTTGCAAATCTGGAACAGGTTCGGGAGAGCAGAGGTGGACCTGATGGCCACCTGGGAGAACTCTCAATGCGCCCTGTTCTTCTCCCTAAATCCACTGGATGCTCCGCCACTGGGGGTGAACGCGTTGACGCTGATTTATGCCTTCCCTCCAGTTCCCCTGATATCAGCACTGTTGGAGAGGGTGAGAGAGGAGAATTTGAAAATGGTTCTGATCGCCCCACAACGCATGATGCCTCATGGTTCCCGGTTCTGCAACAGCTGACGGGTCAACCGTGGAAGTTGCCGTGGAGAGAGGATGCGCTCCTGTAGGCAGGAGGAGCAATCAGGAGCGCCGCTATAATAGGTCAGCCCCTTTGTCTCTGGCCGCTGAACGAGAACACAGAAAAATTTGGGTTTTCCAAAGATGTAATATGTACCATCCAGGGAGCACAAGCAAAATCCACTACGGCTGTTTCTAAATGGGCTGCTTTTCAGCGATGGTGCCTAGAAAAGGAGGTGGACCCAACTCATGTCCTCTGGGCTGCATTTTATCCTACCTGCAGCTGCTGTTGGACAGAAATTTAGCTTTCAGCACATTTAAAACTTATGCTGCAACAATCTCTTCCTGTCATGAAGGTTTCAACGATAGAACAGTTTTCAATTACCCTTTAACAAAACGGTTTCTGAAAGGTGCATGCCGGCTTAGGCCAGTGACGTGCGCTCTGGCACCACAGTGGGATTTAGCCTTTGTTCTCAGTGTAGTAATTAAAAATCCGTTTGAGCCCCTGGACCAGATACCTTTGAAGTATCTGTCGCTCAAACAGCCTTGTTATTAACTCTGACATCAGCTAAAAGAGTGAGCGACTTGTCAGGTCTGTTCATCGCTCCTTCTTCTCAGAATTCAATGAAACGGGAGCTCCGCAGAACTCCGACCAAACCCTGCTTTTATACCCAAAAGCATAACAAGTTTGTTCAGGTCCAGAGTCATTACGCTGGACGGGTTCTGTCCCCCTCCCCATAAAACTATGGAGGAGGAACAGTTTCACCTGCTCTGTCCAGTACACGCACTCAGGTGTTATGTGACACGCACAGCCGCAATGCGTAAATCCGATTAATTGTTTGTACATTTCAGAGAACGATCCCAGGGTCAGCCTTTATCTTCCCGGCATCTGTCACATTGTTTATGTGAAGCTATATCACAAGCTTATCGTTCTTCTGGCCTGCAACCGCCTGAAGGACTCAGGGCTCATTCCACCAAGGGGATTTCTACCTCCACAGCTCTGCACAGAGGGGTGTCTGTGCAGGACATCTGCTGTGCGACTTCATGGTCATCACCAACCCCCTTCATCCATTTTTATTTATGAGATGTCTCCAGCTCTTCGCTGACACATTCAGTTCTCAGAGTTACGTCAGAGTGATTTTTCACAATCACACAACTATATATATAAAAAAACAATAAAAACAACAAACAATAAAACAACACAGCCCTGTTCTGTCATTATTAGTGGGTGTTTTCTACGATTACTCGTTTCAAACAGGAAAATTCCTTCTTCCTCATTGGAAATTTTTCCTTTTCTTATTCCTCTATTGCCTGATATGAATAAACATTCCTTCAGCAAAGATCAGGCACAGAGGCTGCACGCCTGTAATCCAGTATGCACCAGGCACATGGATCAATGGTGCGTAATTACGCTTGAATAAAGAAAGAGGTTTTAGGCGGATATCAGGGTGTTTTTTATGGTTCTCGGATAGACCCAGTGAGGCATGGACCATATCCTGCTCCGCCCTTTAAACCCAATAGCGACAGCTTTTAAAGGGCATAGCTTACACGAAATAGAATGCTGGTTATGTATTGTAACCCCAGATTCTATGAGTGTAAGCGTAGCCCTTTAAAAATTGGGCCTCACTGGCTCTCAAAAGGCTGAAGAAAACGAGTAAGCCTTTGGGAGTCGATCTCCGGTCTAGATGCAATTTATAACGAAACGTTTGGGGCCCACACAGCAGGTGGGCGTGGACTAGAAGTTTTCAGTGTTCGGCAAACTGAGCGGGAGTAAACCCAATAGCGACAGCTTTTAAAGGGCTACGCTTACATTCATAGAATCTGGGGTTACAATACATAACAGACGTTTAATGTCTAGGTGGACCCCCAGGACCCTTTCCACCCTCTGGTGCTTTTAATTAATTTGCCCAAATGAGTTTAGAAAAGAAATAAACACTGTGCTGCAGCTACATGATGTGGAAACCTGTCCTGGAATTTTACAGCTGAAAACAAGAATATACATGGAACTGTTCTGGAATTTCAATGAGTGATTTTGTGCAGGTAATTTTCCAGATTTATCTCCCAGGATCCACTCATTGAACACCGCATTCTTTGTGATGGGACGCTTACAAACAGCAACTAAGTGAAACTGACGAGACATACAAAGTAGTAATAGTAGACAAACCAATAGTTTTTTGAGTGGTTCTCAGTTTTTAGAAGAAAAGGCAAGACTGTGGTTCAGTGGATGATACCTAGGCCTCCAGCATGTGCATCAATGAGAGAAGCACCGACTGCAGTTCCAGGGTTCAAACCAAGATCTGCTGCAGCCTCCACAGTCAGACCTTCTCCAAGAGGACTTCCTGGTGAACAGGTCGCGCTGCCTGGGTGACAGAGAGGACAAAACAGCAATTCTTGATAGAATGTAGCCTCGAACAAAGACCTTGTATGATCTGCTAGTGCTCAGAGAGGAAGGAAACTCAGCTACCACCACACCAACTTTTAGCTAAACACCTGTAAAATGGACTGAGTTGAATTCACTGTAGTGTTAACTAATGAAGATTAGCTGTGGCCACTAAACGTCAGGATGAAATTCTGGATGACAGTTTCATTTTTTATTCTCACCTATTTTGGAGAAGTTATTATCCAGAAGGTCCCCCAGTCCAATGCTAGTCCAGAAACTGGCATCCCATCCTTCTGAGGGACAGTATGTCCATTTACACACCAGAGTACACAAAGACCTGTGGAACCACATCACACATCAACTGGCAGAAATGTCAGAAGTGAGTTCTGACATTTATCAAATCAGATATGAGCTTTCTGATGCTACAGTAAAAAAAAACACTTTAAATTACTTAAGATTTAGACAAGCTACCGTGCCCTTGCTTTAACAAACATTTAATACATAGATGGTGATTTCCCACAACACAACAGTTTAAACACATCATTAACTACAATTCTAATACATAAACCTCAAGGTCTGCATAGTTTCAACTGATTTTTAAAATTGCATGATCAAAGAAAATGAACAGTCTGAATGTTTCATGTCACATCATCCATCAGAGCTCACCTTGTTAAAGAACCTGTTGCCTTCCAAGACAAGAAGTCTGGCAAATCAAAAAAGTGAGCTGCTTTGTCCCAACAGCTGTCCTTCAGATTCTGAAGACAAAAGACAAACGAATCACAGCTGAGGCATTCCCTGAAGGGATGCATATTTCCCGCTAAAATTTAAACTAAGATCATCTTATATTGAGAAATGGAGACACAGGTCAAACCTTGAAAATGATGTGCACAGTTTCATGCAAAATTCTAACAGACAGGGAGGGTTCAGTCCAAAAGTAAATACTAAAGTTTAAAACAATGTCATACGTTGAGTGCATGTTGAGAATGACTTTTAGCTACAACCAAATACAGAGCATCTGAAAAGTCTTCACAGCGCTTCACTTTTTCCACATTTTGTTATGTTACAGCCTTATTCCAAATTGTATTAAATTAATCTCTTTCCTCAAAATCCATCCATCCATCCATTTTCTTCCGTTTATCCGGGGTCGGGTCGCGGGGGTAGCAGCTTAAGTACGGTGGCCCAGACTTCCCTCTCCCCAGCCACTTGGGCCAGCTCCTCCGGGGGAATCCCGAGGCGTTCCCAGGCCAGCCAAGAAACATAGTCCTCCAGCATGTCCTGGGTCTTCCTCTGGGCCTCCTCCTGGTGGGACGTGTCCGGAACACCTCACCAGGGAGGCGTCCAGGAGGCATCCTAATCAGATGTCCGAGCCGCCTCAACTGGCTCCTCTCGATGTGGAGAAGCAGCGGCTCTACTCTGAGTCCCTACCGGATGATCGAGCTTCTCACCCTATCTCTAAGGGAGAGCCCAGACACCCTGCGGAGAAAACTCATTTTGGCCGCTTGTATCTGAGATCTCGTTCTTTCGGTCACAACCCAAAGCTCAAGACCATAGATGAGGGTAGGAACGTAGATTGATCGGTAAACTGAGAGCTTCGCCTTGTGATTCAGCTCTCGCGGCACCACGACAGACCTGTACAGCGCCCGCTTCACTGCAGACGCTGCACCTATCTGCCTATCGATCTCACGCTCCATTTTTCCCTCATTCGTGAACAAGACCCCAAGATACTTGAACTCCTCCACTTGGGGCAGGACCTCCTCCCTGGCCCGGAGAGGGAACTCTACCCTTTTCCGGCTCAAGGCCATGGCCTCGAATTTGGAGGAACTGATCTGAATCCTGGCCGTGTCGCACTCGACTGTGAACCGCTCCAGCGAAAGCTGTAGATCACAATCTGATGAAGCCGATATGACCACATCATCTGCAAAAAGCAGAGACGCGATCCCAAGGCCACCAAAATGGATCCCCTCAACACCTTGGCTGCGCCTAGAAATTCTGTCCATCAAAATTATGAACAGAATCGGTGACAAAGGGCAACCTTGGCGGAGTCCAACTCTCACCGGGATTGAGGCCGACTTACTGCCGGCAATGCGGACTAGGCTCTGACACCGGTCATACAGGGACCTAACAGCCCGTATCAAAGGGCCTGGTACCCCATACTCCCAGAGTACCCCCCATAGGGTTCCCCAAGGGACATGGTTGAATGCCTTCTCCAAGTCTACAAAGCACATAGACCGGTTGGGCAAACTCCCTCGCACCCTCCAGGACCCTGCTGAGAGTGTAGAGCTGGCCCAGTGTTCCATGGCCAGGACGAAAACCGCACTGCTCCTCCTGAATCTGAGGTTCGACTATCCGACGGACCCTCCTCTCCAGAACCCCTGAATAGACCTTACCAGGGAGGCTTAAAAGCGTGATCCCACTGTAGTTGGAACACACTCTACGGTCCCCCTTTTTGAATAAGGGGACCACCACCCCGGTCTGCCAATCCAGGAGAACTTTCTCCGATGTCCACGCAATATTGCAGAGTCGCGTAAGCCAACACAACCCTACAACATCCAGAGCCCTAAGGAACTCCGGGCGAATCTCATCCACCCCTGTGGCCCTGCAACCGAGGAGCTTTTTAACCACCTCGGTAACCTCAGCACCAGAGATTGGAGGGCCCAACCCCGAGTCCCCAGGCTCCGCTTCCTCAGTGGAAGACGTGCCAGTGGGATTGAGGAGGTCTTCAAAGTATTCTGTCCACCGACCCACGACATCCCGAGTTGAGGTCAGCAGCACACCGCCCCCACTATAAACAGTGTTGGTGGTGTACTGCTAGTACTAGTTGTGAGTAGTTAGAGCAGTCGTCCTCCAATGGGAGAGTTGGGGGTTCAATTTAGAGTTGCACTCGGGTCCAAAGAATCTGAACCGACCTGGCTCCAGCCTGTAGCCATCATCTCCGAACCCCACTCAATCTGACAAATTAACTGTAATTACAGGTCCGAACCCGAAAAAAACCCCAACATCTTTAATTAAGCTTTGACTGCTTATACCACCAACTATTATTAACGGTAGGTGGACGTGCGCGGCTGAGTACAGGGGGCAGAAGATCGGAGCTGAGGAGCCGTCAAAGCACATTAAATCCCTGCTTCTGCCTGCATTGGATCCTGCTCTGCCATGTCAGATATTTTGTGATCTCACCTGTTTGGGTCGTCGGCCGTGCACGTCCGCTGAGTGCAGCAGCTGAATGAACGTCCATTTGGGCTGATGGATCGCTGGCAATAATTCATCTGAAGCTTAACTTAACTTTTTACCTCTTTCAATCTGTCGGTCAGCGCACGGTCAAATGGCCGCGTGCGGCAGGTGTAGTATGGCAAGCCAAGTTGGCATATATTGGATTGTCGACCACGCGCGTCCCTGACGCAATGTAAAGCCTGACACCAACCCACACATTAAGCACATTATTATGGCCCGGCCCAGTCCGAATCCTAGTCGGGCTCCGGGTTCGGGTTAGAAATGACAGTTCTAGTTCGATTCCACCAGCAGTCTCATGTTAAAGTGTCCTTGGACAAGACACTGAACCCCTCATTGTCTCTGATGTGTCCCATTGGTGTATGAATGTGATTTAAAGCTCTGATCAGTCTCTACAGATTCAGATTATCTTTGTAGAGATGTAGTAGAGTGCTGTATGAATGTGTGTATTGGAGGTACATGAGGCCACAGATTGTGTTGTAAAGAGCTTTGAGTATCTTAATTACATAAAAATGTGCTATATAAGTACAGTCCTGATGCTGCTCAATAATACAGTAGAAAAATCTAACAAGGTTGAGTCAGGTCCTCTGGACGGATTGTTCTTGTTGAAACGTTTTGTTTTTTAACCAAAAGACTTCTTCAGTCTGAGGAGCTGCAACAAACTCAGTCTTATAAATAGCACCTTCTCATAGTGGATAAACCAGTTTGCTGCTGACAACCAAAACCAGCTGCTCACATGATCAAGAAGGACCATTAGACTAACAATGGATCATTAACACTCTTATGGCCGCTTGCCATTCACAGAGGGCTGAGTGATACTAGCAATAACAGCATTGTAAGAGGGGGACAGTTGAACACGGAGGCCTCCACCCCTGTTTAGTGATGTATGATTTCTTTTCACAAAGATGGCCTCCTTTACTCCTCTCTCAAACCACCGTTCCTCTCTATCAAGGATATTCAGTTTAGTTTATTCAATTCAGTTTATTTATATAACGCCAAATCACAACAAAGTTGTCTCAGGACACTTTACAGGAACATTCACAAACATAAAAGCCAATTAGTTAAGTTCTCTATCTAAGGAGAACTTACATAGACTTAGATAGACTTAGAGAACTAACTTAAGGCTCCAGTATACTGCCACGTATGTCCGTTCACGCGTACGTACGCATGTACTGTACGCAGAGGGTTCAGACTTCATACTCCAGCGTACACCCCGAGCAGCTGCAGAGCAGCTTCACAGACAAGGGACGTTTACCTTCGGGAAAAATTGAGGTCGCCGATTGGTCATTTGCTGACACGCCTACTGGATTGATTGACAGGTCGGAAAAAAGAAAAAAAAAAGCGAGCGCTGGCAGCCTCACGCAGCGGTGTTCTGTGTTTATATGTTGTTAATAAAAAGATCTAAAAAATAAAAAAAAACAGGGAGCGCTGGCTCTGCAGCCCACACATCAGACCAGCCCACCAGGAAATCTCCAGACCCTCCCGCAGCCACGCTGGACCTGAGTTTAATTCGCTCGTGACAAATTCCTCCATTTCTCACCACTTCAGTCATGGCATCAACGGAGGAGGAAGAGATCACTGTCTCTTGACAAAAAAAACAAAAGAAAAGGCCAGATCAGAGATGAAGAAGGGGAATTTAATACATTGGTGTCGCGTACAAAACAGTCCGTCGCTGGGCAGTTTATTGTGCGACACCGCGTATGCGGTCGTAAAAATTGGAGCTTTGCACAGACATGCCCTGGGGGGTGCGCATGTACCTCTGCGTACGTACGTGCGTACCTGTGCAATGGATGTACGCGGCAGTATACTGGGGGCTTTAGGATGAACATCTTCATCCCTGAAAGAGTGACCGCTGGCCTGGAGATGAGTGTAGACTGCAGAGTCCTGGCCTGATGATGTTGATCTTCTGTGCTGGGCAGAAGAGAGCCACCAGACCTGCTCACCTCTTTGAGCCAGAGAAGCTTAGGGGGCTGCATCTCAGGTGACATGACCCCTCCCACCCTGCTCAGGACCCTGTGGTTGGTGCTAGTTATCCAAGCGGCCTGCTTCTCAGCACGATGGTCCATCCACATCACTACGTTCCTGTGTGTGTCACCTGAGAAAAACAAGCAGAGACAGAACATCACGTTTCACAGAAGGCTGAAAACGAACATGAAGTTCCACAAAACTCAACAAGATGATTTTACACTCAGTTTGTCAGCAGAGGTGAAACTTCAAACTAATCACTGATATTAGCTCGATGAGCAGACTATGAGCTGTTAGCCATGGTTGCTTCCAGGCTGAGCCCTGACCTCACTGTGGAAAAAAACACCTCACATCCACATTACATGGATCATTGAGCATGTATCAGGATACTTCACATTATATTAAAGCTATTTGTCCCAGGTCAAAAGCTACTAACTTAAAAATATACTTCATACTTTCTGAGGTGGGTTTTGTAAAAAGTTTATGAACAATGAAAATATTACCTGTTGTAGATATCAGTTTGGAGAAACAGTACAATTCTTACTAAACTTGTGAAATAACAGCTAATCAGAGTGGAGGCTGTAGCACATACTCTCCAACAGTGGGAAAACCTCAGGGCCTTCTACGCCTTCAGAGAACGACGACAAATTCAGCAAACATGAAATGTTACATTTTTGTTTTTAAGTATATTTTCAAAGTAGGATTATTTTTTTCAAGGTTCCAGTTCTTTATTGTCATTCACATCACGTGGTACATGAGGTTGAACAAAAATTGTGTACTCAAGATCCCAGTTACATCCAACAATAGCAAAAATATAAAGTGTAAAAAGAAGCAGTATATAAGGATCTAAGTCTTACACTAAATAATAATAATGTAGTATAATACACTGCAGGTGGACTACAGGACGAAGACCAACCCCCCCCCCCCCCCCCCGCCCCCAACCCTATCAACATCAAGGGTACTAAGGTGGACACTGTGGACTGCTACAAGTACCTGGAGGTCCATCTAGACAATAAACTGGACTGGACAGCTAACAGCAACGCCCTCTACAAGGAAGGACAGAGTCGTCTTTTTCTTCTGAGGAGACTCAGGTCCTTTAACATCTGCATCATGCTGCAGATGTTTTACTACTCGGTGGTCTCTGTAGGACCATGCTGCAGATGTTTTACTACTCGGTGTTCTCTGCAGAACCATGCTGCAGATGTGTTACTACTCGGTGGTCTCTGCAGGACCATGCTG